AGTGCATTATTGGCAGCAACAAAAATAAAAGCCTTGCAACAGTAAATAGCTTTACCTTGTTAATGTCTGTATTTTGGTTAAACTATACAAATCTGGCATTTAATTTAGTATACGATAATATTTAATTATTGCAAATTCAATGTTATAGTTTATTACAATGCGATTACATCCTATGAATAATTACATAGTTATTAAATAGAATGGGGTATATGCGGACACTTAAGTTCAGCCAGCCAGCTTCAGCGCTTCCAGTGATCTGTATTTCCCATATAAAATGGCCACATTTTAGATCTTCACTGCCTGATAGATATACGATATAATGTGGGTCTCAGACTGGACAAGAAGCACTGTGTTATGTATTTAATTTTCTCCCGCCATGTCTTTAAAGTATGACATTTTATTTTACCCCAGTATTTTCAATGGAGATTCTGCGCTAACCTGCTGATTCTGAGGGCACTATCGGTTACACAGTCTTTTGTTCACCGGAAGTTTATGATTGACTGAAAACACTAGCTGTGCATATAACCCATTTGAAGCAGAAATAGCTAGCATATTGTATTATAATAAATAATGAATTTTACACATAAAAGTCTCCTTATATCCCTTTATTGAAAAAAACACACACTATGTAATACATTATTTGACATTTGTATTGGGCCCTTAAAGTTTTTAATAGTTTTTATATTTTTTTAAACAAGAACCACATGTGCTCCCTTAGAAATAAGTAATCGGCAAGCCCCGGTGTAAAATAGTAAGACATTATTTTCCAGTTACTGTACACATGCTTACTATTGTAATAATAGTGAATCATGCAACTACAAGCAACTAATTCCTAAGCAACAACTAGCAAACCCTAACCCTGCCGTTAATTTTGACAGATGTTTTTTTAATTAACTCTCTAACCTATTAAATGTCCTACACTTATACAAATTATTTAAAATAAGTTGATTCAACACAATGAGGGGGGGGGGGGGGGGGGGGGGGCTTAATTGTTTTATGTTCAATTCAAAACAGATTCAATGATTATTTAAGATACATTTCAGCAAGTTTGACTTTTTAAAGGAGATTTGTTTAACCTTTTAATGTTTATGTACCACCATTTTGTTCTAAAGAGCCACATTTTTATTGGAAGTTTGGAATATGGATAAAAGCATCTGCCAAATGATTAATTGTAAATTAATGATGTGCATTGTTTTGTTACAATCTGAATTATAAGTTCAGAACACGTCATGTCTGAAGAGTCACTTAAAGCTTGCACAGGTCAGTGAGACGGGATGATTTACAGCTCTTAAGAAGACACAGATTCACTGGATAAGAAAAGAAAATATAGATTTTGCAAGTACCATATGGTGATGGTTTTAAGTCCCTGTTTTCAAACGAAGGTGCCATCTCCAGTTACTTTACCTGGAAACCTCTGAGGGAGGAAAATGGAGCTGCTGCTCTATTGAGCATGGCGGTAATCCAGAGATTAGCTGGAAAAAATTCCCCACCGCCACCACACAACGGCTCGTCTCACTGTCACTCAACAGGCTCAACCAGTTAGAGAGCAGCTGCGCTCCATGAGGCTGGTCAGAGCGGGCATGTCTAATGCCACTCCACTCACCACTGTCGCTATAGCAACCAGCCAGGGGTGTGTTACATCTGCATGTCAGACGTGCAAAAAGCCATTTATGAGCAGAGATATTAAGATTTTGGTCACAATTTATTTTAAGATGATTCTCTCTATTAACAAACCATTAACTAAGACTTTTAGCTTAATATATTTTTAATTTAGCTGTTTATTAGTAGTTTGGCTAGATTAGGGCTGTAGAACAAGACAAGGTATATACAAGAATCAGAGAGTGAAATTTAATAAATTTTAAAACCTTTTTAATACTCTTACCATACATTTTAATACATCATCGCCACTTTAGATTAACAGGTAACATTTGGGACGTTTTAATTTAAATTATTTATAGTATTTATACTAAATACTAATTGTAAGAAACTAATTCTAAACTTAAACATTTTTCATTTATTCAATAAAAATGCTAGTTCAGCAGGTGGTGCCTACAACAGCAGGAATAACAATGTTTTCCCTGGTTACTGCAGTAAACAAAGCAGCAAAATACAGCAGGATTTTATTGATTTCATACACTACACAGCATCCCAATATTCACAGAATAAATTCAGACAAACTTTAACATACTGATACAAATGTTAAAACCTTGTAAAATAGGATTTAAGAGTTCTTAAATACTTTTTAAGTGCCCTAAATTGATCAACTTTTAATACTTTTTAGACCTCACAGACACCCAGTTAGATTGTACTTTGTAAGTACCAGTAAACAGCCAGTATCTTAAAGTTGAGACTTTTATTTTAATATGTTGATGTACTTCCAACTGAAACAAAATATTGTGTAATATGGGGGCGGGTCTTCTTTTGTGCATCATCCTCACATAGCAAACTAACGGAAACAGGGGCATGTTTAAAAAAATTGTGGCTGTGGCCATCTGACATCGACAGTGGAGGACCACTGCTCCAAATGCAAAAGTAAATAGACATCTTTTGATTGAAGATCACCAAAACAAAACTTATTTTTTCATTGTTTATTTGCACAGATGAATAGTTCACCTAAATAAATAACAATGTACTCCAGTAAAATAACATTTTGATTACACACAGACTTCAATATTGGTACCTAAACTAAAGTGTTACCAAGATACTTTAATGAATATTTCTCTAATTGATTTAAAATAAATCTCTAGTGGAATTAGTTTTAGCTCAAAACACCCTGATTGACCCCATTAAAGATTGCTAAATCTGCCAGTGAATCTCAAGGAGCCAAAATATCTGAAATGATCAGCAGAAAATTAAAGTGGCAATTGGTACTTAAACTAAAGTGTTACCAAGACACTTCAATGGATATACATTATATTTCTCTGGTGGAATGATTTGGAGCTCAATATACCACATTATAGATTGCCAAATCTGCCACTATTTGAGTGTGAGCAGAAACACACTGTATTTACATGTTCCTTGAAATGCAAATGAGTTGCTGCTTTTTAGGAAAGGGGCAGAGCCTTTACATACCAATCTGACAAAGACAACAAAACAAGTGAATCTCAAGAAGCCAAAATATCCGAAAAGACCAGCAACATATTGAAGTGGGAAGTGGTACTTAAACTAAAGTGTTACAAAGATACTTCATTGGATATACATTTTATTTCTCTAGTGGAATGATTTTTAGCTCAAAATACCCCAAATGACTCCATTGCCAAATCTGCCACTATTTGAGTGTGAGCAAAAGCATACTGTATTTACATGTCCCTTTAAATGTAAATGAGCTGCTGCTTTTAAGGAAAGGGGCGGAGCCTTTACACACCAATCTGACAAAGACAACAAACAAGTGAATCTCAAGAAGTCAAAATATGATAAATGACCAGCAACAGATTGACATGGAAAGTGGTATTTATACTAAAATGTTACTAAGATACTTTAATGGAAATACATCATATTTATTTGTTGCAATGAATTATAGC